TTCATTGGAGGACAAAAGCTAAAGCAAACCACAGACATGCAGTCCCCATCAGCACCCTCTGGTCTCATTCTTACCCCTGTTGGTCCTGATCACTGCTTCATCCAGTCTGGTAACAATGTTGTCGTTTACACCAGAGAGATGAAACACACAGTCGTACCTCCACCAGTCTTCACGTGTGACTGATGAAAGGTCCAGGTCAACACTCATCTGGAAGGTGCCATCATGGTTGGGGAGAATCTCTCCATGTTCCACATCTTCATGAATCTCCTCTCCATCTTTCCTCCAGAACATCATGGCTCTGTCAGGGAAGAAACCTGTAGCGTGGCAGCTGACTGGAGAGGAAGGCGTCTTCTGGAGGAGAAACACTGAGGGCTCTGAGGAGACAGAGAGACAATGGAGGGAGAGGGAGCGAGAGATGGAGAGGGGATAGAGAAAGATGAGAAAGGGAAAATACAGCTAAGGTTGATGTGAATGTCATTAGTTTTGCAGGTATTTGATCATAAACCAAAATATTGAATAAACAGCTTTTTGAACACAATGATGGTCTTATCTTTCTCTCTGTCCCTCCTCTCCAGCCACATTCCCCATTACAAGGTTTCTTCATTGCATTTTTTCATTCTTCCACCTCATGGCCTCAGACTGTCCCTCCTTTTTACAATTTCCTTATCAGCTCTTAATCAGCCCTTTGGCATTCACTCCCTGGCAGGTTGGCAAAGCTTTTTTACCTTTGCTTTATTTTACCTTTTGCGTTATCTATGATGTGAAACCTGAATCTGGAACTTGTAAACTTCCTGCCTGCCTGACCCTCTGCCTGACTTTGTATTTCTTGCCTGTACCTTTGGAGTTGTTTGCCTGTTTCGACTACCTCTCTAGTTCTGACCCTTGTCTGCCTAATGATTCCTGTCCCTGTCAGTAAGCTTAAATATAAATTGTCACACAATCATTGAACTGTCCCTGTATGACTCAACTGTGTGCATCAAAATTGTCCACCAACTTTTTTTTTTCAGAGGAATATGCCACATGCCCATACACCCATCTTATGAGCTATAAGAACATATGACAGTGCTGCATAACAACCAACAACCCATTGGCTACACAACCTCCTCATTGTCTGTATATAGACAGAGAAGGGAACTACACTACCACTGAAAAAACTCACGACAATCAGAGACAGAATCTGAGAAGGTCATGTCAGTGGAGTAATAAAACAATACAGACTGTAATAACATGGTTATGTTCATGAAATTACATCAGGTCATGTGACTCTACCTGTTCTCGGCAGAGAGCTGTTGCTGTAGGCCACATACTTCTTCAGCCACTCAGGGAAAATCTTCATGATGTAGTCTTCAGTGCTTTGAATTCTAGTTTTGTCAGCGTCCCATCTCATTTTGATGTTGTAAGCCTGTGGTTTCGGAGCGACCCATGTCAGTGTCTTCAGGTCGAATGATATTAAGTCTTCTCCATCATAACCATACTGATTAAAACCATTAACCTCTCCAGTCTCGTCATCCCAATCACAACCACTATTCTTCTGGAGAATGTGGACACCTGAGAGACAGAGACAGAGTCTGCAGTGAGCAATGATGCACTGATGATGCATAGCCCCAGTGGAAAGATGATCTCAGAAATACTCTACATTGTGTGATGCACAGATATTCTCCCAGTCTTGTGGTGTGCTCATGATTCAAGTGCGGATAATCAGCACTTTTTCTTTATATGAGTGATGAAAACTAAATTCCATTCCATGACAGCTGTAGTAATGTTCTGTAAATAACTGACAATGACAGTAAACCAAGTGGTTATGTCTTCTTGCAATCTGGTTACACTAAACTGTTTTATGTACAGAGTCACAGGGTTTAAGTTAAGATGCCGACCATGAACTATAATATCCCTGGATGGAGTCCAGCTGGGGACCTTATTGCTCTCCCTTATTGTCTGTCATCTTTTAACCACGGCTATCTCTCTCTTCACCCACGTTCAGGTTGGTATGATCAGCATGAAATAACTCCAAATAATTAATCTGATATATAGCCTATTCCAAATTAAATATTGGATTGTATTAATTACGACTTGCCTTATGCACAGCCATGTTCAGGCACTGGAAACAACAGTTTTGAGCAGTTTAAGACTTGATCAGTATTTACATATCCAATGCAATATTCAGGTGTTGAAACATACTGCTTTATACTTTAATTGTGACTATTAAAAATAAACCCATCAACCGCAAAATGACATTTTTTCCAGAACTACTTACTGCTCAGAGACAATGCTTTGTTTTAAAGAAAAATCTAATTGGGTCCTGCTAATCCAAAATAGCTAGAAGAAATAAAAAATGCATACTAAGGAAAAGCTTGTGTATCAGGAGGTTAAGTGTTCTGCAGCAATACCAAAGGTTAGATGAAAAGTGGGGCGTGAGGATTCTTGAACTAACACCTGTACAGATGAACGCGGGGTCTTGACTATAGTTTCTTGAGGCTCTCTGGAGTGTCAGGATACAATAGGGCCGGGCAATATAGGAAAAAATCAAACATCACAATATTTTGACCAAATACCTTGATATAAATATTGTGACGAGACTGTAGGGGTTGACAGATGTTGCTTTCAGAAAATATATACACCACTAACAATATAACAACTAATTGGGTAAAGAAAAATAATAGAATGTTTGAACAGTGTGTTAAGTTCAGAAAGTTACATCACTTTATTGTAATGCAGCCTTTAAAACCAGAAGACGACACATCCAAAATCGAAGACGCACAGCAAAAACAGATGTGTTAAAAATGACACATGTTGTGCAGAATTTTAACACATGTAGCGAGTGTGCTCAGGGACTACACATGTTGTCATTTTTTAACACATCTGTTCTAAGAGTGCGATATCTACTCAAATATCATGACATCAATATAATTTCCAAACAGTCCTAACCAGTGAAAAACAGAATGCCAAATATTTTACCTCCACTTTGGTTGAAGCGCTGTTTCAAACTGTAAATCGTGGCTTTTA